CTTCGTGATAAGATTCAAGACCTCAGACTTTAAGGGACATGCCGGGATTGTGTCGGCGGATGCAGCAAACAGAAGAATCTTTCGTGAACATTAAGGGCAACTGACATTAGTCATTTATTTAAAATATAGATATATCTTTTTCAAATAAAAAATTTGCAAATAGTATACGAAAATTAAAAAAACAATTTGGACGCTTATTCTTGCGCCATGCGCCAATGGCTTCAATTGTGGCCAAATTACGCGCACGCTATTTACATCACATGCACCTCGCCCACATTGAACATGGCGCCGTAGGTGCGCCGCGCCGCGCCGTGCGCCATGAGGCGCTCGCTATTTTGCGCCATTGACAGCTATGGAGTCGAGACTGAGTAAAAATTGTATTTGCGTGTAGTTGATCTATAGAATATTGCTCAAAGGGTTGGACTTGATAACCTTGATTTCATTTTAAGGTCATGGAGTACTGACCACAACATCAACAACAACATAACAACAAAAATAATAACAAGCCCTTATCCCATTATGTGGGGTCGACTAGAAGAATCATTTTTTTCTATTGTCCTATTAAGAGTCAAATTCTCATTTAAACCTAGTAAAGAAATATTATTTCTAATATTTTTTAATCAAGTCTTATTAGGTCTACCTCTACCTTTTTTAACATAAGCGTATCGGCATGCAAATATAAATAACAAATTCCAGCACTACTTGGCATAAACCTTGTGTGTTGTTGTCTATTGCTCTTATAAGTTGATGTTGATTGGGAGCCTTGTTTACATTGGCTCTTCAAAAAAAAATGTAATTTATTTTTCTTTAGTTGTGTAAAGTCCGTCAAATGCATACAGAGGATTAGCCCTTCCACAATTACTGGGTCGACTCTACAAACTCTACGTTTCTTATAAAGGATCAAACATAGGAAGATTATTGGGCTATGGGCTCTATCTATTCCACTCTCATAAGTAGAGGATTATGGAGCCTAACTAGTCTACACCTGCATATAAAGGATCTTATCTGCAAGTTGGGCGTTGCCGCTCATCCTTATAGCTAGATTGCATTGTAGATTTTTTTTTTTTTGTGTGTGTGCAATTTGAGTTGTTGGACCTATGTCAACACCATCATAATGAACCCCATATTTTTCTTGATATTTATACCAAATTATCCATATTTTTAAGAATTTTTAGTAATTACATAATTTTGATTGTATGGGAAATAAGGGACCACAATTGGACAGTCCCAAAAAACTGTCGGGCATTAAACACTACTCCTAAAATCATTTTGAATTTTTTTGAGCTCTTATATTGCAAGGAGGTATGGAACTGCATACTTTAATAGAATGCAAGCATTGGCATGACAAATTTAACTAATAGAAAGGCTACACTTTTTAAACAATTAACTAAACCATATAATTTATCAAAAGGCAAGGTATGAAACACTAAATTGCGTTATTATGTTATGTATCACAGACTATCAAATAATTCATTTATCACCAACTAAGCAGTTGGGAAAGCAAGTTTATATTTTCTCTAACAACACTTGATTTTTTGGGTTAAATAGGTTGATGTTGGACCAACTGAGCAAAAGTTAATAATTATTAAAAAAAAACTTATGCTATTAATGATACAATAGTTTATTTTAAAAAGAATACATGATGTACAAAACATTATAATAACCTTTTGATTTGATTCAAGTTAATAAAATGAAATGAAAATAATTAAAAATAAGATTGCCTAAATATTGATCCACAAATAGCTAAAAAAATCTTAATAGTTTTCATCATTATGATCATTAAATGCATTTAAAATTTTAATTTCTCAAAGTACTTTGCCCCACGTAGTGGGATAAAGGCTTGATGTTGTTGTTGTTGTTGTAAAGTACAAAATACTAATAGTAAAGCTTAGCAATAGTTATAAGTAATCCATACAAAGATTACATAGCTATGAATTAGGATCATAGAGGTCGATATCATAGAAATAATTCAATGGAAGCCATGCCCCACAACCTCTTAGCATGGTACTCTTTCTAAACAATTTTAGGACATAGGATGGATAATGACCCATTGGGTCAACCAGTTCAATAAAAACAATAATGCCACCTAGGTTATTTCACATAAATTGCATGTCTAGTCCAATCAAGAACAGCACTAGGCAATTAAAAAAAAAAAGAAAAAAGAACTGCACTTGGCAAGCAGTCTAAATTACTCACTTTATCAACCATTCTGCTAAGCTAAGCCAAGTTTTAAAAAGTAATCAAATCATTATCCATAACTAAATGCATACATAAACACATGACAGGAAAAATCTGATAGGAATCTAATCACCACACAACAAAAACAATAATAACAAAGAGAAAACACAGTAAATCAGCGAGAGATTTTTATATCACCACAACAAACCAAAATGCAAGTTGATCTACTATTCGAGGGGTAGATCGACTCTCCAAAAACCCCGGCACTGCTAGGAACACCTCCAAAGAAAACAACAATCAAACACAATTCGCAAAATGAAAAATAAAACAACCTAATTAACCATAATATAAAAATTCCTACTTCCCTCACAAATCTGAATTCAAATCATCCATCTTTCTCTAAATAAACATTTAATAATTCCCTCAAAAATCTGAATTCAAATCAACCCTCTTTCCCTAAATAAACTTTTCCTAATTCCTTCCCAAATCTGAATTCAAATCAACCCTCTTTTCCCTAAATAAACCATTCGTAATTCTCACCAAAAGATGAATACAAATCAACCCTATTTTCCTAAATAAGCTATCATAATTCCCTTTCAATATTAATTTTCTATGGTAAGTAATTAAAGTGTAATTAATCCCCTTTGCTCTTCTTACCCACCGCCCACCCTAGTGGGGCCCACAGACTCCGTCGGTCCATCAATACTCCCCTCCAAAAGAGTCACTTTGTCCTCAAAGTGGAGCAAAATAAATTGTTGATGAAGCAATGGACTAATAGCACTAGAATGAAAAATGGACTAATAGCACTGGAATGAAAAATGGACTAATATTGGGTCGAATAATCCCTGCCTACAGCATCTCCGTGATGAATCTCTCAATCTCAACCTTCTGGATTTAAGGATAACAATACAGACGAATACTAATGGGTGAGCTCCATCATTTAGGAATATAGAATGCTCATGTTTATGCAGAGGAGGCAACACCTGAACTAGCTGGAACACTTCTAGATACTGTTGTAGGAGTGGTTGAACTATGTATAGTGCTTCTATCTTCTCCCATCTTTTCCTTCAAAACACTGCAGTTCCACCAAAAATCTCACTCATTCACCATTTCCCCTCCTTGGAAGAGACTCCAAAAGTGAAATCTCCTCTAATTACCCCAAAATTTCTACCTCACAATCCTCCCCATTGTCCTATATTAAGGTTTCCCCCACTTCCGTGTCCGATCAAAAGCGTATTTGCCTTTGATTATACCATATTGGCTTGAAACTCTAAAATAACTTTCATCATCTCCTCCATACTCGAATATCTACTCTAAAATACTGAAATTCGCTCATCGAATTTAGATTTCAGATTTTCAAGTTCCTCATCAAGCCTCAACTCGAACGCATCAACTTTCTTAGTTGTCATAAATCCCAAAAAATGTGCTATGATACCAATTTGATAAGAATCTGATCTCCAAAGAAAAAAAAAACATTAACAAAGAAAAAACGTAGCAAAAATCATCGACAAAGAATTTTATATCGACACAACAAACCAAGATATAAGTTGATCTACTATTCAAGGGGTAGATTGACCCTCTACAAATACTAGGTGTGCAGCTATGAACAACTCCAAAAAAAACTACATCCAAACACAACTCACATAATGAAAAATAAAACAGCCGAATTAACCTTAATATAAACCTTCCTCCTTCCCTCCAAAATCTAAATTAAAATTAGCCATCTTCCTTAAATAAAAATTTCCTAATTCTATCTCAAATCTGAATTCAAATTAGCACTTTTCCTAAATAAAAATAAATAAATATAGAAGCATTCATACGAAAGAAAACAGATGTCCACATAAAGCATTTTCTTGCTTATATAACATATACGGAGAAGGTGAAATAAAGAAGCATTTTTACCTCATAGAGCAAATCCAATGAAATATACTTTGAAACAAGCATATAAACAAACATGGTTGTGCATACAAAAGAGCATTTGTTTGTTTATATGTTCCATAAATTAAAAAAAAAAAACAAAGATTACTTGAAGCGTTCTATTTTTAATGAAAAACCTGAAAGTGTTATTTAATTGAGCTGCATCATATGAATTTTCAACAGGAAGGAAAATGTCCTTGAGCATGACCAGCCTTGTAAATATATTATGAATCAATGGACAGACGGGGTGGTGGAGTTTGAGGCAAATGATCGAATTGGGAGTTGTATCCTTGAAGCTAAGCATCAAGGAATAAAAATATGAAGAAAAGTCACTAATAGTTCCTGAAGGATTCTAGAGAAAATATGCTGGAAATAAAAAGGGGGGAGAACACTTCTAGGTTGTAAGGCATTACCACCAGTAAGATTATAACTTCAATATGATAAAACACCTACGCAAATCCATGTTGCGGATACAAATGTTTAAAGATTCAATTGAAATCAATGAGATGCAAATGATAAACATGATAAATCTGTCAAGTAACTGAAAGTCTGAAAGGACAAGACTGTGTTGAGGATGTATATGGTGGTGTTGAAAGTGATTGGTGGAGAGGGGGACCGCAAAAAAGAAATGTTTGGTAATCATGAATGCATATATTGCTGGATGACAAGAAAAACAACTTCTAATATGCAAAATTGAGAAGTTGAGTGGGGCAATGGAGAACAACAGTCATACTAATTGTACTTGAACATAGATCATTAGCCAGTTTAGAGCTGAATAAACATAGCACAAGAACGAAAAACAATAAAGGATTGCATACTGCTTTATCCATAAAATTTCTTGACCTCCAAAAAACAGAATGTAAAAGCAACCTGCAATCATGTCAATAAGACTAAAAAAAACCCTTCCTTTTTTACACAAGTCATACAAGAAAATTTGCATCATGTAAAATGGACATCATTAAAATTACCTTTGAGTCCTTTTTTATTTCCAGCTTTACATGTTTGGCATTCTTCTGTAGCAAGAGATCAACAAGAGTATCTTGATATAATTCCACCATATAAACCTGAAAATTCACTAAAAGCACTCACCATCATTAAGGCATAAGCAGAAGCAAGCTCATCATTCTAATCATTAGCCTTAAGCCCAACCAATCTAGATCAGCTACAGGAAAAAGTAGTAGAAACGTCTAAAACGGTTTGCAAAAATAGTCGCACAGTTTATAATGTACATAAAAATCTGTAATGGAACTTCATTGGAACAAAGTTAGTGCAAAATTATTAATTAAAGAAAATAATAGAAGACATGTCATGTATAGGTTAGTAGAAAGCGCGGTGGAAGCATCCACGTTAAAGTGAACCTTCTATGCACCTTAAGTATTCACCAATTCTATGATACCTAAAATTTGTTAAAAAGGTAAGCATAAAATATGCCCCAAAAGTTTATCCTATTTTCTAACACATACTTAAAACGTCATATATATTTCCATTAAATTCTATTTTTTTATTTCGAGCATTTCGATACATAGAAATATACCTAAATCACCAACCGAATAGTATATATATATATATATCTAATAAACCTTAGGCAAATTAAAATTTATTTAATTAAATTCTAATGTAGCTAAATCAACCCAAATTACTATAGCAGAAATTCCCCGCCACTTACCTGTGCATGCATCCGCCCAACCACACAGAATTAAACTCCACGGCCGGTGGAGTAAGGGTTATATTATTATAGTATTAGTGGAAATGCATGTATTAGTTAACTTAAGACTATTCAATTCCATTTCCCCACCCGTCACTTTGCTTAGGGGAGTTTGAAGCAGAAGGTTGCGAGCATAGACGCGAGGGCTACCGCGAGCTGCATGCAACGAGAGCTACTAATTAATAAAATCTAACATAATAATATGATAATCTAGCATTAAACTTAAACACAAATCTATCCTATCATACATATCAAATATCCAAACTAAGCAAGTTAGAGGTTTAAAATCACACTTTATAAATAATATAATTTATATTTAATATAAAATTAGTTACATATATATTATAAAATTTAATATAAATAACTTATAATTTTTATTATAAGTATAGATATAATTTATACCTATGAGAATTGAATAGCCAATTCAAGGCGATTTAAGCTGGATTATGTTTAAAGTGGTTTTGATAATATTTCAGACCGCCCAGCGAATCGGTTCATGGTTCAACCAGTTGAACCGGCCGATCCGATCTGATTTTCAAAATAGTTTTAAGCATGGTTTGATGAAATTTAAAATCTAGTTTTAATATAACATTGTGAAAGATGATACTTATGTAAAACCCGAAAAAGATGTTAATAGGTCTTCGCACGCTTTTTAAAGCGCCACGACGAGATTTAAGTGAGATTTTCAATGTTAACAAAATTCAACGAAAATAATTCTAAAAAATCCTACGCAAAATTCTGATCGTTTTGATATATAGGACTTATATTTAATTATGCGTATTTTAGGAATTAAAAATGTTTGAAACTTAAAAATACAAACTTTACCCCTAATCTAATAAAAGGCCAAATTCACTCAAGTGAGGGTATATGAGTTTATTCAAAAAAAAAGAGGGTATATGAGTAATTAGCAAACCCCAATTCCTCTTAATAGCATAACCCGAAACCCTCTCCATTTCACACGTGAACCGAGCGGACGAGCGGACGAGCGGACGGGCGGACGGCTTGGGGGCGACGGGCTTCTCTCCGGCGACGATCTTCCGGTGAAAGTTTTAGGTCAAATCGAAGAGGAAGAAGAGAGAAACACTCATGTACGATTATTTTAAAACGGAACTTCCTAAATCTCAAGTTAATTGAGATCAAAATTTTAGGGTCTTTACAAAAAAATGCTTTTCTACCAAAAATCACTTTACGAAACCTTTAGGGAATGTTTAGAGGATTGTTTTAACAATGAAAACGAAGGGAATTGAGAAATTTTTGGAAGAGTTAGAAATTAGGGTTTTTGACCTAAAATTAAATTTTGAAAGACACATATACGAAAATTATTCCTAAGGATATTTGGAATGTTTTAAAGCAAAAATTTGGATTTTTGGATGAAAATTGTATTTTAGTATTTTTATAATTAATGTAAATTCGAAAATTTATAATATAATTATAATTATATGTTTAGGATTAAGTTTGGAGCTATATTTTGATGAAATGGAAGATTTATAATTTTCCAAAATTTAGGTATTTATTAAATCCGAAAATTTAGGTTTATTTAATTAAAAATTTATTAAGGGAAAATGCCGGGTTTAGCATTAGACTTAGAATTAGCCTTAAGAATTAATGATGTTTGGATTTATGTGACACGTTTGTTTTATTCATAGGTTGTGATCGTTAAAGTGTAAGGTGGAAGACTTGTGTCGAAGCGACGTGTCGTACTTAGTTTGAGGTAGGTGTTCATACCCCAATTAACTTTATAAGTGCTTAAAATTTTTATGCTTGAATGAAATTTCATGTATTTATTTTTATTGCTAATTAATGTTTTAAATTCAATGATTCTACAAGTTCATGCATTTATTTTATGCATTAATTATTAGAAAGCGTATGAACCATATGAAAAGCATTCAATTTCATGTTGCATGTTGATCTGGAAGTGCCAAAATGGTAATGGAAATCCAAAAGGTAATGGGATTCTTCGGAGCCAAATGGTAAAAGAAATGGTCAAAATTTGACAGTGTACCTGATCAACTTTATAAGTGCTTAAAATTTTTATGCTTGAATGAAATTTCATGTATTTATTTTTATTGCTAATTAATGTTTTAAATTCAATGATTCTACAAGTTCATGCATTTATTTTATGCATTAATTATTAGAAAGCATATGAACCATATGAAAAGCATTTGAGCATGAAAATATATGAGCCTTATGAAAGGAAATTGAACATAAATGAAAAGATTTAAATTGAATAACAATTTTATGTTGCATGTTGATCTGGAAGTGCTAAAATGGTAATGGAAATCCAAAAGGTAATGGAATTCTTCGGAGCCAAATGGTAAAAGAAATGGTCAAAATTTGATTGTGTACCTGATCAGTACGAATAAGGGTACTTCCAGGACGGGTTAAACATTCTTGCATTTGCATTACATATGAAAAAGTTGAAAGGAAAATGAAAAGAATGAAATGTTAAAGAAAGGAAAAAAAAGGGAAAGTAAGATGGAAAGTTCAAGGATTATGACTTACAAAATGATATGAATTAATTTCTTATTATAAAAGTTTTTATTATAAGCATCTTATGAAATTAACTGAGTTATGAATTACCTACTGAGCGTTGGCACATTCTTTATTTGAAAATATTTTTAGGAGATAAATGATGGCTGCACGACGACCGTACATGTATCGTCGTAGGGGACCTCAAGAAGAAATATTCCTTCTTATGATTTTAGTTTTAGTCTTTGAGTTTGTTCATGTGTAGTTTGTGAGTTTAAGTTTGAGTTTAGAGTTTATGTAATATGTAATGTTGACGGTTTTAAAAGCTTTTAACGGTTGTGTGAGACGGTTGAACACTTTAAAACATTTCAGTTTGATGTCTTTTAATGACTCTTTCTTTTAACATTGGATGACATTTATGTACTGATGTTAAATATATAATGAATTTGATTATGTTTTATATGCTCTTCCGTACGACCGACTGATCCCGCCCCGATTTTAACGGGCTAACCAGGCCGGGTCGTGACAACTTATTACATGTTTTGTTATCTATGTAAGCATGACATATAAGAACAAGTGACAATAATTTTGACACCAAAAAAATTAAGAAATTGAAAAAAAAAAAAGAATAGTGATAGAATTTTCAAGTTCACGCTGGTCAAATTAATAGTGCTCATCATATAGTTTGAAGAAAATGAGAAGATTGAATGAACAAAGGACAACACATCAAATTTAATGAACCTAAGGTGCACTAGTGTAAGAACCGGTCTAACCGGTTCAGCTAAACCGGTCATAGCTTTAAATCAAGAGAAGCGAAACAGGCAAACTGAATGAACAAAATGATAGGAAATGCAACCCAAACGGTCACTGCTAGCATGTAAGCATCTATTTGACAGATTTTTCGATGTTCTACATGACTAATCGCATTCAGGAGTGGAAAATAGTGACTCCTTAAGGGAGATGTCTTTCTTTCGCTTCATCTATGCTATTAGAAGTTTAATGTTACGACACTACCCAGAGATTTCGCCCTCATTTTGTGAGGACTTTATGATCTGAGTTCTGGTTTCTATAGGCACAAGCCCCTATAGTTAATTACCCCTCTCAATAACGAGAGAGAACTTTCGATTAAGGCTAGTCATCAATCAGATACGTAGAGTATAAGTGTATCTGGCATATAGTAGCAACATAGGTTTGGAATTTTTAAATTTGAAGGGTTGGATGTTCGAAAAGTTGGAAAGTTGAAAGATTTGATATTTAAAATAGAAATTTTCACCATCTTGAACTTAAAGCGGATGGTGGGGGAATGGATGATGGACCCGATCAAGATACCATGGTTCCGTCGTCCTGGGCCATCATGGTCGCTGGTCTACTTAGTCAGAGGAGGTAGTCGACCCAATCTAACAGAAGGATCCTTATCAGCACCCATAAGATGCTTCGTCCAAGGGGACCTTGTAGACTTGAGGTGGATATTTGCCTAAGGGGACAAATTTGAATCCACCTTAGCTAATAGAGGGTTTTTTGCCATATCGATCATATCTATTGATCCATATCTCAAGGATTTGATGCCACTAAGGAGCGTATTGGCTCTGGCCATAACGGATATTTCGTGGTGCCATTTGGCGGCAAAACCACTCGGTTCAGGGGCTCCGGGTCATAATCATTTATCCTGTGGTGTCATTTGGCAGCAAAACTGCCGATTAGAGGACACGTACAACGTCCTTACTAGCAGGAGATTGTTTGAGAATGGAACCTAGTGAAATTTTCGACTAGGCATTTCGTTCTTTGTGAGCTGAAGTAGTATTTTAATTTGTCCACCTCGGCAAACTGTTGCGGAGAGTGGATGGATTTTGCTTTAAGTATGGATGGATAATTTCAATTTTTAAATATTTT